ACAACACAAATCCACAACCTTACCCTCTTCCAACAAAATCGATACATTTACACAGCCTTCAGTGTTCAAACAATTCCATACACCACTTCCTTTTCTCGTTCACTTGAGTCACACTTCGTACCTTAATGAAGCATTCATTTTGTATTTATAGGTGTTAATTTAAGTTTTCGTTAATGAAAAACATTCATAGCTGCTCAAGAATCCCTCCAGCAAACGTGATTTGAGCCTACCAAAACCTGGCTTTTTGGCTGTGCCCAAGATAAACAACTTACTTCCTTTGACCTGTCTGCCTCCAAAATGCAAGCAGTGACACCGACCCTATGTTTATTTTCACCAGTTCATCCGCATTCACCAAAGTTCACTAATGGCAGACGATGGTATCAGTGACGAAAAAGTGGATTGCTATGATATATATAAACCATACTACCCACTAGCACAATTACACTGCCTCACTGAGGTATGACAAACAACGGTCACCCTGATGACAGTTAAAAAGCTGGTGGTTTGAGTAATCAATGATGTTGGTTTGGAAGAGGCAAAGATGTAGATGAGATTGTGGTAGCGCTGTTCAGTACCAGGAACTGACAGGACAGCAGGAGGTAACATTCCTGGCAGCAGCAGGTCAGCAAATATAGTCGACAAAGATGGAACTGGTGCTCCATCCTGCTCGTGCAAACTGGTATGCAGAGGGTGTCGTGCTCAGACACATAAACTTCTGCATTCCAGCTTATGCCAGCTTTCACTCCTAAAGTAACTGGTGTTAATCTGGTGTTTAGCAAGCTGTTAGCATTCTCAGGGAAAGACAAAAGTTTGGTCTAATGTCATGGGGTATGATTAATGATTTGGATACAGCTGCCATGCGTGTGACAATGTTAAGAACTGTGCTAACAGAATGAATGTTACTATTTAGATGGCACTCCCTGAAGACTACTGATGTACCAAAGGTTCTTACCGGTTTAGTCAGTAGCAGTACCAGGATGCAACGGTCTTGCTAGGTATATCTACCTTACATGTATACATACATATAGACACTACATGTATACATACATATAGACACACATACATCATTATGTATAGATGATATGAGCAGCCCAATGAAACAGCATATGGGCATGCTGGAGCTGTACTTGAGGCAAACCAGTGCATAGAAAGTAGTCCCTGTCCAAGCACTCTGTAATTTTGGTTGCCTTGGTTCAGCAGCCATGCTGGCATTTAAGTCAGCATCTGACAGAAAGAATGACCTCGCTTGACAACTGAGTTAAGCACGCTGTTGTACTTTTACGAAAAGCTTTCACTGTGCGCTTGTGTGTACGTAGCACAGAAATTATGCTTGTGGTCCACTCAGCTGCCAAACCAGCCAACAGACGAACCAAATTTCAGACGTGAAACCACCTGTCCATCTCAATGTACCATCACTGTCTACCTTTCAAGTTCTTGGCCCGATAATGAAATCCTGAGTGCTGGAGTCCTGCCAATAGCACAGCATAAAGTCAGTGCTGACTGACTTCATGTGTCGGCTCACCTGACCTAGGAGCCGCCAAAAAGTACGCGCATTCTTCAAAGTCTCTGGACCAGCTCAAGTATGGAAAATAAACAAGATGTGAGAAATAAATAAAAATAAAGTGGCAATACTATACGAAAGAGGTATTCAGTGTGGAAAAAAACAGTAATCCTAGTAATGACGAACAGGTTACAAGTTTGTAAGTGACAGTATGGTAACCTCTAAACACCAGTTTGTTTTTTCCTCACAGGCATTGTATTATAATGGAGACCAAAAGCAAAAGCTGTCCTCTCTCTACTGCCTTGGCCTATTGTACTATATTTGGGGAATTTATGGAAGAAATGCCAACTGGAGTAAGTCTTGGAGGATAATTTTACAAAGCAAGCAAACCTTGCTCTCCCTCACTCCCCATCCCAAACCAAAACCCAACTTTACTATCAGAAATGCAGCTTGAGAGGGATGTTAGAAAAAAAGTAGTATTTGATTCAACTGATATGTAGAAAACCCAAGACAGATCTCCCTTTCTTCCAACCTCAGATCTCCTACATTTTTTATGTCCACACCAGAAAACTAGATTCTTAAATAAATGAGAAAGCTTTCTACACCCTACAGGCAACAATATTTTTACATTTAAAAGAATAACTAATTTGCCTAATGCTCCTCATTTTATCAAATATACCTCAGTTTCCTTTCTTGATCACAAAACAAATACTAGAGAAAAGGTGACTTATCCACACATTGCAAGATATTCTAATGCAAGCTTGACAGAAAAAAACAAAGGAATAGTGAAAACTATGGAACTGTTCCACCAGCAAAGACTATGACCACTGTCCTAAGGAAAAAAAAAAAAAAAAATCCAGTTTACCTGGACAAGCTGCTAAGAAGTGGTTAAAAAAAAAAAAATAGAGCACTGCTTCTAATTTCTTTTCATAAGCTCCTTTCCCACATCTGATTCAGACTTGTAAGATCCTTACACCTGTGAAAAAACACTCCTACCTAACTAGCTACTCAACAGTATTTAAGAGCAACACAATTTTTTACCCTTTTCACTAATATTGCTGCTGCAATAGAGAAAGCCCTTTGTTTTTCTCAGTTTCTACCATTTTAGGTTCTCTTTCCCACTAATTAAGTTAAGTGCATTTGCCTTTACCATTTCTGGCATGCAGCAACATGACACTGGTATGATTCTTGACATTTCAACTGCTTCTCACAGATCTGCATTAAAATCAATGAATTTTGTCAACTCCATCTATTCTCTAATTAGCAAAGGTACTTACAAGCAGCATAGGCAGCAATGCCTTCTGTTTGTACACAAAGGCAGATGACTTTGCATCAACTTACACATTGCTTAAATCAGAAGTTTATATAGACAGCCATATAATGACTATGAATTTAACTTCCACAACAGCTTTTTAAATGTCTTTCAAGGCTTCATAACAAAAATTATGCAACTCAACACTAAAATTTCAATTTATCCAACAAGTATGAGCCTTGATTATAAAAATCAGATAAAGTTGTACAAAAATGTAGGTTGTATGCTTAAAAAAAAAAGTTTCCTCCATGATCAAAAGTCTTCCTGCTTAAGTTTAGATTACAAGAACCTGAGAACTACTCCATGGAATACAACCCCAGGTTCATAGTCTCACTGCAGATGCGTTTAACTGTGCTCCCCCCCTTGTTAACTTTATTAATTGGAAGTTTGCATTCCTTCCATTCATTTGTGTTTGCAGAAAAACACTGAAATTATGGGAAATTACTTGATGTTTTGAAGATATTTTGAGATATTTGGCTTTCACATCACAAAGCGTGTATTACTTCAGACAGCGTTTAAAAACAAAGCAATTCCTTGTTCTCTATCCACTATTCTGAGCCATGATTTGTGAATGGATTACATTGGGGGGGGGGAGAGGGGGGAAAAACCAACCAGAAAAGAGGAAGTTGTGCTCTTGAAACTCTCAGAGTGCATGTTTTGCAGATTAAGTACAATTTCAGTAACAATTTTAGATTAAGTTTAACACAGAGTATCTACCATGCATTTCAAAAAGAAGCATCTCCTTCCTTCATGTGATTAACAATAAGACCCGAGACATAAAATTTTAAATTGAAAACAGAGAATTCATTATTCTAAAGTCATCTGTCGCTTACTCTGCTTACAGTTCTAAAAAACCCACGGATTCCTAGGATGAAGTAGCCACTAATATAAAAATTCATTGTCATGTTCTTCTTGCATTATAAAAACTGCCCCACAAGTCCCGTCATCTTTCCCTTCGCCTTGCCGCAAGGAACGAGTGTAGCATTTCTTTATCTTATACATAAAATGGTTTCAGTACCCTCCAACAGGGAAAAGAACAGACAGCTTCTACAGGAGGGAAAGCAATCTTTAGAAAAATCAAGATGCGTGGGAAACGGCAAAAGTCCTTGGGCTCAGAAACGCAGCTCTGAAACACCTGGCAGTAAATCAATGTCACCCATTCCACTGTAATCCCCGAAGTCACTTTTACGAAGATTACTTCCTGCAGTGCATTCCTCACCCTCCTCCCTCCCCGGCCGACAAGGACTCGAGGAAAGACCCCCCCCCTCCACGAAGCCGCACCGCACATCTGGAGACCAACGCCGCAGCAGCAGGAGCCGGGCATCGCTCACGTTTGGTACAGCTGCTTCGCTACGACGGCGGCGGCCGGAGCCCCCCGATTCCCGCCCGGCACCCCGCAACTTGTCCCGCCGCGCCCACAGCCCGGCACAACTCCGCCGGATCGGGGGGAGCAGCCGCCTCCCCGAGGTGTCGTTCGTCCCCCCCCCCCCCCCGTTCCCGCCCTGCGGGGACACCGCCGCTTCCCTTCCCACGCCTGTCCCAGCCCCGCGACCCCCCTCGGGGCTCCCTCCGACCTGCCACAGCGTGTCCCAGCCGCACCGCCTCCCTCCCTTCCTCCTTCCCCGGGGCGGCCGCGGCTCTCGGCCCCCGCCGCCCGGCGGCCCGGGGAACAGGCAAAGCGCAAGTTCGCGAAGTGGCGGAGCTGGGGGCAGGCGCCGGGGGCCTCCCGCCGTCCCCGCGGCGGGGGAAGGCTACGGGGTACCCCCCCCCCCACACCCCACTTTCCCTCCCCGCCATCTCTACCACCGCCGGGGCTGCCGGCGCCCGCCTTGAGGCGCACCCCGTGAGGGGGCGGCTTTCCCGCCTCCCCGTCCCGTCCCGTCCCGCCCGGCAGCGGCGAGGACTCACCAGGGGTCGAACTCGTGGATGATGCTCTCGAAGCGGATGACGGCGAAGAGCCGGGAGCTGAAGCCGGCCAGCCAGGCCAGGAAGAGGATGGTGAAGGAGAGGAGCGACTGCCAGCCCGCCGGCTGCGACAGGCCCCCCGACAGGCCGCCTCCGCCCGCCGGGGGGCCGCCGGCAGCCGCCGCCGCCGCCCCGCCGCCTCCCGCCCCGGCGCGGCTGTTGAGCAGCGCCACGGAGTTGGCGGCGGGTTTGTGCTTGTTGTCGGGGGCCGAGTGCTCCGCCATGTTGTACCCGGGGCTCCCTCGCGAGCCTCTCCGCCTGGCGCGTGCGGGGAGGAGGCGGAGGCGGTGAGGATATGGGGGGGGGGGGGGGGGGAGGAAGGGCAGGGGGAGGGAGGCGCGGCAGGGGAGGGGAGGGGCGGAGCCCGCCCGCTCCCTCAGCGCTCCTCACTGACCGCCCCCCGCCGCCGCCGCCGCCGCCGCCGCCGCCGCCGCCGCCGCCGCCGCCGCCGCCGCCAGGCTCAGCCGGGCTCTGCCTCCCGCCGCCGCCGTCACCATCCCAGTGCGGCGCGGGGCGGGAGGTGGCCGGGGCGGGGTGGTGCCGCGCGCGAGCCTGGGGGCGGGGCCAGTGACGGAAACGGGGAGGAGCCGAGGGGCCGGGCTTGAGGAGGCGGCGGGGGGGGGGGGGGGGGGGCGGCTGGCGGCCGCGCGCGCGGGCGGAGGGGGCAGAGCGGGGCGGCGGGAGGCGCGCGGGGCTGCGCGCCCCCTTCCCCCCCGCCACGGCGCGCGCGAGGAGTCAGGCGGACGCGAGGGCGGGGGGGGGGGGGGGGGTCGGGTCCTCCGGAGCGAGCGGTTTGACATTGCCGCCCTCCAGCGCGGGAGGAGCTACCGGAGCGGGACTCAAGGCCAGGAGAGCGGGGAAGTGGGAGGGACCAATCCCCGCGTCGCGCTTCTAACAGGAACGCCGCGGCGACCTGTCACAGAGCGACAGGTATTTAAAAGGGGCGGGACCGATCCAGACAGCCAATCGGAGCGGCGCGGGTGAAGCAGAGGTGGTGCTCACGGCCAGCCGTTGAGGGGCGGGGATGTGGAACGGTGCAGCGGTTTGCTCCAATCGGAGCGAAGCGTGCGAGCCACGTGGGCTCTGAGGGGGCGGTGATCACCCCCGGCGGGCGCCGCGCCGAAATGCTGCAGTGCGTGCGGGTTGGCGCCGCTGCTCCCGGCGTGCTCTGCGCCGGGAATACGCCCGCGCCGCGGAGCCTGCCGGGAATCGTAGTTTGCGCGGAGGAGGGGGGGGGGGGTGTGGTGTGCCCGAGCCTCTGGGCGCGTGCCGGAGCGCTCTAACGGTTGTAACGGTTCCAACGGCTCCTCGCAGCTGAGGAGAACTCTGTGCGTGTGTGGCGGCAGCGGCGGGAGCTCACCTCCCTTCCCTCAGGGCGCCTGCGCGGGCGCTAAGAGCTTCTCTCAGCCTGCGAGCCTGCCTTTGTTTGTCTTTCCATGGTATGAGCTTACTTTTCGGTACTGCGCCTCCGTGGGGCTCACGTAACCTTTGAATCCGTTTGTTTAAAGTGTTTAATAACCCCGGTGGAAATCGCGTTGGCCGCCGTTGAGCGCTGTGCCGGACCTTGCCCCTCGGGCAGCAGCGGCTAGAGGCAAGGCCGGAGCGAGCCGTGCTGCCCTGGCCCTGCTGCGCACACCTGCGGCCGGTCTGGGCCCACCTGCCCCTGCCGGGACCGCTGCCAAAAAAAAAAAAAAAAAAAAAAAAAAGACTTCTCTTTCAGGAGTTTTCAGAATGAAATGCTACTTGGGAGTCTTGTAACTTCCTCATATATTTTTTAAAACCTGCAGTTATAAGGAGAACACGAAGAAAACTGAAAGCTACTGAGGTTTTTGCAGTCCTTTTTGAATGGCTGTGCTGACCTTGTCTACTCAGAGATGGCAGGAGGCTGCCTGCTCTTAGGAATATGATACTAAGCACAGGCGAAATAAAAAATAGATGGTTGTTTGCACTGTTTATACCAACAACTCCATTTGTGACTTTTATGTAGGGCTGTATTTTTGAAATTAAATACCTTGGGTTTGGTTGTCAGAGCTCCAGGCATTCCCTCTGATACATGAATGTGGATCTTCAGAGATCCTGAAGATTTGCAGTTCAGTTTCACTAATCTCAATGGTGACCACACTGGGCCTTAGCTGATTAATACAATTCTAATTAGCTCTTGCTATTGAATCTGTTTTTATTTTGTTTGCAAGAGGAAGAAAACAGTATGTTTCTTTGTAAGTAAAGTAGAAGCCTTTCTATTAAAGTTCTTGTTATATTATTGTTCTTTTAGTGAAAAGCTCTGTTTAGCAATTTGTAGAGAACGTAACTTTTTCCTCAATCCTTGCCTTAGTCAACAGCTGTGACTTGGTCACTGGTTTAAAAGCAGAGTTACTATATTGTAAGGCCTGTGTCTGTTTTAAGATGAGCACTTTAATATACTGTTGCTCATAAAAGACTCCATCCATTTTATAATTACATACTCTTAGAATAAGGCTTAGGAAAACTTTCAGAAAATCTTGAGGTTCAGTTTTGCTGAATCTGGATCTTGAAAGGCTACGTTTTTGTGTTTGACAGGGGTGTTTTGTGTTTTTTTAATGCCATGTTCGTTCTTATTCTTCTTTAAATAGGCCAATAATATGTTCAAGATAAACTAAGTTAGACATTTGCCCCTTTTCTAGTGTTGTCAGTGAGGCTTTTTTAATGAGCTGACCAACTGGCATTTCAAGTGAAGGATGTGGGTTTTTTGTTTTTTGTTTTTTTTTAATTGGCTCCTGAACAAAGAGCAAATGTGACTAGAAATTTGCAACTATCAAGTGTTTTCTAAAAGGCATTGACTGATTTTACAACAGGCTCAGTCCTGGTCTACTTTTCTGAAATGACAATGCAGTATTTCGAATCTCACTGTTGAGATCCTGTCTTTTGGTAACAGCAGTTCAGGCTTCACAATGCAGTAGAGGAGCTGCATTAAGTAGTAGTGTCGTACTTAGAATACCTTTGTCTTTTCTCCCCCGAAGCACCCTGACCATTTGTCTAGCTGTTAAGGAGCCAGAAAGGATTGATGATGCACATCAGCTGGAAAAACACGTGTATATCAGAACTTCTTTTTATATAAAATTTAGTATTGATGTTAATTTTCCCCAATTGTGAATCTGGTTTATTTAAAAATTATTGCAGATCATGGTGTGGATAAGCTTATATGGTACTTAGTTTATATTTCAGTGCTATAATTTTACATCTAACAGGGAGGTTATATCATTCTGACTATACTGACAGAGTTAAATTAGACAATTTTTTGAGCATAGACAAGCCCAGACAGTGTGATTTATTTGAATACTGACTAGTGGTAAAGTGTTTTGTTGTCATTGGTAACAAATGATATTGTTGCCTATTCATTTTCAAAGTGTACAAAAGTTTGTACTGTTGAATACCTCAGAGCTTGGGCAATGAAATTTAGTGGCAGGAAAAGCACAGCTCTAGTAAGAGCTTTTATGAATGTTTCTGTAAATATATTGTTTGAATTTTTGTATTAAATTAGATTTAGTAGTCTTACAATAAAGTTGATCAAACAAATGCACACTGATGGAAATACATAGACTCCTATAGTTAGATGGAAAGATTCAGTGATTTTGATACTATATAGCCGTGACAGCAATGGAAAGTACATTTCTGTAGAGGAGATGCAAAACATGTCTGCTGAAAATTGCATTCAACCCATACTAATAGCTTGATGGGGAAAGAGGTTTTTCATATCTTTTTTGGTTTTGTTGTGTCCTGTTCCTTCCTCCTTGCCCCCCCCCCCCCCCCCCATCCTCTTGTGTTCTTCCATTTGTTTCAAGGTAAATTGGTTTGATTTGTTCCACTGTGTTTGGTGGTGTTTTCTTTGAACACAAAAACCCACAAAAATGTCCATGTCACTGACTGAGGAGTTGACCTTGCGTAGTGATTATGAACCATTTTGCATATAGAAAAATCAGTTTTCTATTCTAGGCATGCAAAATAATAGCCAAATGCCTTAAGGAAAAAAAATCTTATTTCATTTCCAAGCTTCCTTAATAATGGAGTTATTCAGGGATAGTGCTGAGTGCAGAATTAGTGTTATGGTTGTACAAACCAGAGCATCCTGAAAGTTGTGGAGCTGCATACAGGAAGATGTCAGATGAGAGCTCCTCATTCCTCAACAGAGCTACCATGTGTCCCTGATGTTGTCTGCTATTGAAAGAGTGACAGACAAAATTTGTACAGAAAAAAATTGTATGCGGACGCATCCAGGTAATAAATTATTAATCAGAAGTTCCCACCGACCATGGGTTTGTACAATTCATACTTTTCACCAAACCTTATTGGCAACAATTCAGCAGTGTCTATTAACAGGAGTAGGTATCTTAGTTTAGAAGGCCATTTGAAGAGCAGTTCAGGTTTGAGGTGAATAAACAAGTCTCCAAAATGGTACTTCCAGCTTTGTGATCCTGAAGATGAACAAAATAATAAGTTTGATAAGATTTTTTGAGGATGGCTTTAGAAATTGAGGACACAATACTTCCTGAATTGAAAAATATTATGAAGTAGCACAGTTGAGCATAGCTTGTGGTGGGGGGGATGCTTGATTTCAGAGATGTGCTTAGATGATCATTGTTTAAAAATGTATGACAGTGTTTAAATGAGAAAATAGAATACTATTGCATGTAATTATCCTTGAGAATCTGAAGTTTAATGCATTATAAAAATAACTATCTATTAGTCTCCATCTAGACAAAATTACATGAGTTTAAAATAATATTAAAATTAGTTTAATTAAGCAGGTGCAACTCTGGATGTGTAAATCATTTAAGCCCGTTGCAAACTGATACAAGATTGTCTGCAAAGAGCTTTGCACCTGTGTAACTACAATGAGGTTTGTAATTTATTTGAATTTAAATGGTGCAACTGTTGTGTTTAGACAAAGCCTTCATCTAGAATTTCATTCAGTAGCAGTAGAAACTTGACTTACTCCTGACAGTGTTCACTTGTGGTTTCTCCTTTTTCTTTCCAATAATTTGAACGTGTTCATATTCCTCCTCTGCTTCTCCTCTCTTAATTATCCTACTTCATTTTTCTTTCCCATGACCTGCACAGTGGTAAAAGTCATTCCAGTTTGCACACACAGACTTTCCAGGCATCACAATGCTTTTTGCTCTCCCTAGCCAACCCCTGGCATATTCTCCTGCTGCCAGCACCTTTTCTATCAAACTTGTCTTCACTTCTTGTGAAGAAATGGGGCTTTTCCCTCTGGTGGGCTGGTACCAGCTCTGCAAAGTCTCAATCCCTTGTTAGAAAAACCGAGGGAAAGTCATACACTGAGACTTTCTATCAATAAATAAAAAAATACTGTACTCAACATTACACATAAATTATATTCTTATCCATGTGCGTTAAGTGTTGTGCAACATATAAAGTTGAAGTACCTTTCTTTGAAGTGTTGTGTTTTTTCATCTGTAGCGTTTGCAAGCACCTTAACCAGAACTTGGTTGTTCTGGGCAAATGCTGCAGCCAAGTGTTTTTGAAAAACTTTAATTCTGTTCCTTCTGGTAAGAAGGAATGTGCTGCCTTGAGGACGATCAGCAAAAAATAAAATTTAAAAAAAAGGCCATTTTCTTCAGGGACATCAATAAATAGCCCGTTAAATAGCTGAAGACTGATGTTTAGCATGTAAATGCTAAGTTCCCAGAAGTTGTAGATACTATGTCTTATTAAAATATTATGTTGGAACAGCAAAGCTGCTAAGGGAACCAGCTGAAGGGTAAAGCTAACTTCTGGGGACTGGAGTGAGAGGTTTATCCATTTTAAATATATGGGATCTGTTACTGCATAGTTGCAATTAAGGTGAATTTTGTCACTAGATTGAAGTGAGAGGGGAGAGCAGAATACAGGAAAGGGGCATTCTGCTGTTAGCTGTAACACCAGCTGCATAT